CATGCTCATGAGGGAAAACACACACTCTACACTAGACTACTGATTATCTCTGGGGCTACCTCCTGAGACTATCTTGACTCTCCTAATTAAAATGAAATGTTAACTACAGCATATGATTTTCATCATAAATTGCAAATGCCCCAATAAGCAAAACCTAGCAACAAGGCTGAATAAAGATATAGTTCCTGGTCATCTGCTAGGCTTTCTGATTGGTAAATCGACCTACTCCCCTCATTAGCTGTGTAATCTATCTTGTTCAGATTATGTCTTAGCAAGTTTACAAATGCCTATGTCATCAACAATCTGAATCATTTGAGAGAGTCAAATTGAACACCATTAAGTCATATAGTGACTATACACAGTTCACACACACAAGGAAACATTCTCAGAGTAAAAACGCAAATCTATTTAATTCAGTGCTTTTAGAGAAACCAGTCTTACATAGCTATTCATGCTCTGCTTAGGATAATCTATTACCAGATTAGTTACTTTTTTGTCTTTTATCTCTATTTCTTTGGTCTTGATAATTGAGGGAGGGAGGTAGGGAGAGAGAGGGAGAGAGAGAGAGCGAGACAGAGAGAGAGAGAGAGACAGAGAGAGAGAGAGAGAGAGAGAGAACTGCTGCTCAGTGGTTAGAGCATTGGCCCACATACCAAAGGGTGTTGGGTCTGATTCCTGGTCAAGGGCATGTACCTGGGTTGCAGCACCTGGGTTCCAGGTTTGACCTCCAGCCCCAATAGGGGTGTGCGCAGGAGGCAACCCATGATGTGTCTCTCTCACATCAATGTTTCTCTCTATCTCTCCCCTCCTTCCCTCCTCTTTCTCTAAAAATATCAATGGAAAAAAATATCCTGGGGTGAGGATTAACAACAACAAAAAGTAAAAAAGAGAGAGATAGAAGGAAAGAGAGAGAAGAAGGGGGCAGAAAGAAAGATAAAACGAACACTGACTGGTTTGTTTGACTGTTTTTGGAAAGTTTGAGAATGGAGGAGAGAGCAAAACTAATAGATTTATTCTATTTGGGGGTTATTTTTGTATGTTATTTATCAGTATTATATATGAACCCAGTTTTAAATACATTCAACCATAAATTACAAAATAATTGGCCTATAAGTCAGGAGTCAGTGTGAAATCATTTTTTTAGAAGACATTTTCATTATAAACAAAACTAGCAGCTCAGTGGCTGCAACATTTGTGACAGTGCCATGCAATTAGATGACTCACCTAATGAGAGTTCACAGCATAGGAACATTGCCAACTATTCCCCCCTTACTTGGATGCAGACCTAGTTGCAAATGCTAATTCACAGTGGGAATTCTGGAAATAAACTATTTTTAGTTTCACATCTAAAGATTAATGCCCCTCCACCATCAATAAAAATACTATATATGTTCACTATTATATATGCTTATTATTTTAAGTTTGTAAAGATAGGATTTTTAAAAAAAATCTTTATTGTTGAAAGTTTTACATAAGTCCCCCCCTCTCTCCCATTGACCTCTTCCATTCCACCCCAGCCCCCCAGCCCCTTGTCTTCTTGGATATCAGCCCCTTGGATAGTGATTGACTAAGACATCAAAGTGAAAGTGGATCAACCTGAGAAAGATCTACTCTTGTAGAGTTTAGAAGCAGACAGTCATTTCATTTTTGCAAATGAGTTGATATATGGAGGCAAGTCTTAAAACTAGAATCAGTGGGGAATGTAGGGAATGCTAAAAGGCTCCTGGAAGGAGGAAATTTGCTGTCAAGGTCTTACTAGTAGTGAGTCAGGGTCCAGGCATTTGCTTTCAAAAATAGTTGGGAAATTGGTCTTAATATCTAACTGGAGGAAAATACTTCAGGCAAAACAAAGTACTCAAAGGGTGAATAGGACTCATAGGGCTGTGGAGCAGAGAGTGAAGACAATAGATTCAAGATCAGTGGCTATAAAACCCAAGTGAAAAATCTTAAAGAGCAAGATAACGATGTCTTCCTCATCTCAGAGTAAAGACTAGGAAGGGCCATGAGAAAGCCAGAGCAGGAGGCCAGTGCAGTGAGAGGCACGTGGTAACCGGAGGCTGCAAGAGTCTTCTTAGTACTGGGAAGAGATGCCAATCCAGTGTGAAGGGCTTTCAAGATCTGGATCTCAGTCCTTCAAGTTGGAATATCTTTGCTTAGCATCCATGACAGACAGGAGGCGAGAAAGGAATGATGTCCCTCAGACCACTGGAGTCCATTTCAATAGTTGTTGCAATTATTCTACCCTGTAAATTCGTTCATCTGTAAGCTTTGTCACAAAGTTGTGGTTATTACTTTCTTTGGATTACTTAGAAAAAGTTCCCAGGGAAAT